GTTCAAGCTTTTATTATCAAACAGTATTTTAGGCAGTGTTCTAAAATGCGTATGCGTTGCGATGCGTCGAGGCCGAAAATCAAGAATCACAAGTTTAGGCGTGTCAATGCGAAGAATAAGCGTCATAATACATTTCGTATTTTTAAGGTATTAAATATATTTTTATATAAAAAAATAGATTTTTTAATATATCATTAAAAAAAAATTTTAAAAAGGGATTAGGCGGGATAATGCGCACCTAATACTGTTTGATAATATGCGCGCCTTTTAGATGGAAAACGCATTTTTCGCGCATTTCCCGAATTCGACGCGTTTTCGGTCCGTGTCGCGCCTAAACGCGCCTAGGCGGCGCATTTTGGCTCTTTTTAGAACATGGATTTTAGGATAACATGGTGTTGCTTGTAGAGTAATCTATATGTTATTCTCTTACTTATTTTATGAAAACGTATATGTTACTTTATTACTTTTTTAGGATAACATGTAAATTCATCCCGACCCTAACACCTTCATCGAACACTATTTCCCACCATCGCCGCCACCTTCAGTTGCTACATCACCAGCATACCCTCTTCTTTTTCCCAGCCAGCAGCATTTTCTCAAAGCATCCTATCTTCATTCTCAATCCAAAATACAAGTAACATACTTCACACAAGTTGTGTTACGCCTCCCCAACGAGGCTCAGAATATTGCCCACGCATCAGGACCAATCTATGTCACCGAGATCAAATATTACCGAAGCCCATAGCAGATTTGAAGTTGGTCCATGAGAGGAAGCACAGTGACCGAAGCGCAAATATAACGTACTAATTAAGTCTCCCATTCGAAGCACCTACCATCCGAAATCCTTTCACTGAAGCTCCCCGGATTCCAATGGCTTCAAATAAGAAACGTTCCCTATGAAGATCCTTTGTGTAAGGATTTGGTGAAAGTGATTGATGTGATAGCCTAGGGCCCAGACAATTCAAAGCCTATCAACCTACTGACCAAGAGCGCTAACACAGAATATAGGGTGGCTCCCCTTTCCTAGATACTCGATTGCAACCTAGTACAAGTGGATGATAAGACGTACATGATGCGACGTCCCAATGGGTTGAATGAAGCAACGTGCTTCATCTAACGATCATGGCTTTAATTGTGGCACTATAAATATCATCTCTTATATCATTTTAAACCTAATGCAAATCCAAATACCAAAAGCTTCAATTCTATCTCTAGTTTACGAATATAACTTTGCTTGTCCAAATGTTGGAAATTGTTCTACAAATATCTTATTTTGTGATCGTGTTGATCTAACCCCATTGCTCGAACTCGTTGGTTCGTATCCAAATGAGCAACTCCCCTTACACGTGGCTAGGATTTCTGTTGGCTTGTTCTTGGGGGTTAACAGATTGGCATGTCTATGGAAAATGCCACATTTTAACCACTAATATCTTGTGGAAAAAGCTTGCCTAAGAGTCGTGTGGGCTTCCCCCTTTGAAGAAAAGAATTTGTTCTTGAGAAAGAGCAAGTGAACGCCGCACGCCCCAAGGAAAAAAATACTAACTCCAATGTTAGCCATTTGGAAAGAGAGCACATTGGGATAGAAGATATTTTGATAAAATCCATCTTTGAAGAAAAGAAACACGAATGAGTGCTAAAAAGGAAGATGCAGCACCAATAAGGACAAAGGAAAATCCTGAAGAAGGGGAACCTGACCACACTGCCCCAGCAGCTCGTCACCAACCTCACCACCATCACAGACGGGGTAGGATGAGGATAGCTGCCGAGCTCACTAGAGAGATAGTGACTATGGCTGTTAACGTGAGGAATATCACTCAGCAGAACATTGTCATATAAGAACTAATAAGGCAGACGCATGATCAAAAGATGCGCCTCAAGAAGGCTATTATGCACCTCAAGGAAGACCCGTCCCCCCTTTTGTACCCCAAAAGGGGTATTATCACCCGAAGGAGGAGGTCCAAAGCCAAAGAACGGGTTAGTGGCAATATGCCGAGGAAGATGCTCCCTAAGAATGGGAAGTGGGAGTGAACACCTCCTCGAATTATGCCTCTGGCCAATCTTCTGAGATCCCATTCAACATGGAGGATAACTTCCCTCCTGAATACGAACTAGAGAACATGCCTTAGAGATCAAGTGTCTTTGATAGGCTCAGCCATGGGTGACCTAGAAATATATATATACACATACACCTATTTACTTCTAATTTTTTTATCTAATTTTGCCATACTCAAAAAACAATAACAAATTAAAGTCTAGATTCATCAACATGCACTCGAAACTCCACAACTATATGACAAAACAAACAATATTACATCGTCTAGTCTTGATGTAACCAAGAAATCTAGCCATAATACTACCAAATAGAGTCGTCTTTTTGCTAGAAGAAGGATTGAGAAAGCATATTCAGCTACAAATTGTATTAAGTTGTAATACCTATGTGGTCAGGATTGTAAATTTGTATCAAATTGGTGGAGTGACCTAAGCGCCGGATTAAGAATCGTAAGATCCTACTAAACAATGGTTTGAAAAAAAAATGTTGAAAATTTACTATAACTAGCTAAAAATAAACAAAGAAAAGTTGAAAATAAATCTTCAATTACTTTATCAAGGTCCACGGTTTTTTTTTTTTTTTT